GTGGGTTTTATTATTAGCCTGTGGCGTCTATGTATATATGTCTATGATGGAAATACTATGGATTCCAAACTAAAGGATGTCAGGGAAATGAGGCGTCCTATCTGAATTGTTTCTTAAGAAAATGTAAGTTAGAGTGATTCCAGTATGTTTTATTGCCATTTTAAGAGATTTAAGTTTTTGAATAATATTGTAAATCAGAATTATTTTGGCCAGGATAATCGTGACACTAAATAGAGTCAGAGAATTCATGTCCAGAAAAGATCCAGAAAAAGCTAATCCTCATCTTTATCTCAAGCAGGTTGGACTACTATAAAGGGCTGTGTTTCTGAAATAGCTGCAAGTCACTCAGAACTCCGCTGCTGACTAATAATTGCTTTAAATATAGCTACTGCTGCTGTGTGACAAAATAACAGTAAATGAGGTTGGCTCAAAAGTCATCATGTGATCACTGTATTTACATCAGTTTGTAGATCACTAAATGTTACATACATCTCTGATCTAAACATTCTGCATGTCTGCATACTTCTAGACAGCCTCTTTCTTTTCCACCACTTTAAGGGAAAAAAATTAATGAAATAAATGCTCAAATTTGCTGCTGGAGTTGTGGGTTTCACATTCGACTTCCTCCCAGTCTAATTGCTTGGCCAATCTCCTCAGTGACTAATTGTTCTACCTGATGGTAACTGATGCTAAATACAGATTGTGTGTGTGTGAGAGTGTGAGAGGCAGTGTTGGGTTGCACATGCACAAGCACGCACACACCAACATGTACTCCTATGCGCCCTCGTATTCTGTCAGTAAGGGTATCTCATGTGGCACACTAACTGCCCACACACACTCATGCACGCGCACCCAAACACACCTCCACATTCAGTCTCCGGTTACAGCGTGCAGATATGTTCAGGGTGTTAAATATTAAAGGCTGTAATATTAACGGCTAGGTGTTGTAATCGATGAAACTGCTAAAAGGTCAAGTTCGAAACAGGCTGCTCTGGTTGACGATCAGGTTGTGTAGCTTTCTCAGCAGCACTTCTCAAATGTTGACTTGACCTAAGTTCAGTGTTACTCCTGTTGTATTTAAGTTTTTATGTCTAAACATGTAAGGACAGCAGCCACAACATCATCATAGTCTAACAGCCTATAACAGATCTTTTGACAGAACCCATGAGAGAAATCAAGACCACAGAACTACTCAAATTGTAAGACAGGCGGACACATTTTCAGCAGCAAGAGTGTTGATCATTCAGGCAATTGTTTAGACTGCCTTTAAACTGTATTTTGAACAAACAACAACTGATCTGACAGAAATTTAGCGAGATTCTAAAATTTGTCAGGGGCAACTTAAATTAAGTTAATTTTACAGCCTCTAGTGGTGAGGCTGTAGATTGCAACTGACTGAACACTGCTCGCGTCTGTATATGGCGACCTGGGAATGAGAACTGGCTGTGAACTGTGTAGAAGAAATTACGGTGGTCGCGAAACTGGTTTGTCCATTCTGGGCTACTGTAGAAACATGGTGGTTCATGTGGCAGACCTGTAGATAAAAACAGCTAATTCTAAGTTAACCAAAAAAAGAATGATTCCTATATTCAGGTGATTATACACCAATGAAAATATACCTATGAATATTATATTGCATTTCTGCCAA